AATGTATTTTAAATAACCAATTTTAGGCGAGACAGCCTACTTCACCTAAAATCAATATATTTAATAGATGAATAGTAGAGTACTTACAATGTCGCCAATTTGTTGGAATTGCCACTGGTTGACGTTGAGTAGTTTTCCGTTCGAAGAAAGAAGTTTTTTTTTTCTTGTTTTTTTAAGGTATTGTACAACATAACAATATGATACAATAAAGATGATTAGACTAAGCAACTAGTCTCCATACATTTGATCGTATCATCATACAGATGGAGGAAGGCACTTTTGTGAAACGGAAATTGAACATTTCCTAGTCACAGAAATGGAGGGGAGCAAATTATGACCGGAAATCTTCCACGTTGCAAACCAACACTGAAAAAAAAAGGATTGCTAATTCACCCATTTAGGGTGGAGAAAAATTTGCTTCACTTCGTAAAGCTTTCTTATCCGTGCACGGTGTTGAATCAAGTGAACGACTAGCACGAATTGCTACACCGATTTGCTACATCTACGCGCCTTCATGCAGTTAATCTGGCATCGAGTGGCTTGGAAGTGTAACTGCATTTTTTGGTATTGGTACTTTGCGAACAGTAAAAATAGCTCAATAGTTAGGCTGAAATAGCGGAATTTACGGAAAAATAGCGAAATTTACGGAAGAATAACTAAAAAGGTAACAGACGTAGCTTTTCAGAGAGCAAAATCACCTGCACGCGTGTGTGTAAGTTAGCTGAAATTTGTGTAGCGATTTTACCTGCATGGTTTGCACGTTCGTTTTTTAGCTACACCACGCCATAAAATACCCGCGTGCACGGCAATTTCAGCAATATTTTTTTTTCATTGTAGTTACAGAAATAGAGGGGAGGAAATTATGACAGGAAATCTTCCACGTCGCAAACCAAGATACGTGGTTGAGAATTTTTACGGCGATATTCTACAGGCATAGCAATTAAACGGCGGATTTTGAACCGAAGAAGAAAAGGTCGGGTCTTCGTACTCCGAGCGGGAAAAGATTAGAACGGGAGCCGAGACCAAAATAAATAGCCGATGGTGTAAGTGTAAGTGGTCGGCAACGGAACTGAGGAGCAGGAAGTTGATGAAAGCTCCGGATGGTTCCTCGGAGCAAGTGCCGTGCCGTGGCATGGCATGGCGCTTATAATTATATTAACCAGCCACCGTGCACCAGGTAGTCGCTCAACTGTATCTGCACTCATTTCCGAAGCTCCTCAAAACACACTGCCTTGATTTTGCGGTAGAGCAGATCGCATCGCTAAACGTTTAAATGCTAAAATTACGTTCACTGTGTTTTTAAAGTCGGCGCATTATGAATTTTATAAAGCATTTGCCATGTGATATTCTTACTTTCATTTTGCCGAATTTTTTTGCGGTATCATCTTCCGTATTGATAATTCTTGTAAATGTTATTCATGCCGATTTGAATCTGTGTGCACATTTTGACAAAAAGGTTGTATGAGCTCGATTCTTCCGTTGAAATTTTTTAGAGTCAGTTGTTAGTATTCAACGCATCACTAGACAAAGTCTAGCTATAGGGGAAAACCACACGGTTTTTCTATAAAATTTTACGTGGAATATTCACGCAACGGAATGTTCGGATATCAGGTCAGAGATATTAACAAATATTTTCAACACCGATCAAATGAAAGTTAGATCATACAAATGACGTCAAATGTATTTTGCCCATTAAACCATGTTAATTGTAAAAATAGTATCTTGTTAAGGAGTTAGAGTCCAGAATTTCCGTTGTGTGATTCGTTTTGCTCGTAAATTCTTGAAGAATAATCATGTTGCATACTGATTTAATTCATATCCTGTGTAGAGGACTATTGTGGGCTCTTTATCGTTCAATTTGAAAAGTAGCTTTGTTGCTTAGTAAATTCTTGTTTAAAAACATACAATCTTACCTACTTTTTATCAGACCCATTGACCCACTTTTATATAAGTTTGTTTTAATTTTTAAATTCCAAAGAATTTTGAAAAGCCAGAAAAAATTTAATATCACCATTTTCCTGGACAAGAAGCTGAAATATCATATTTTAAATTAAGTATCGAACAAAATCAAGAGCGTCGTAATACAGTTTTGCACTATTTTTAGTCTAAAATGAAATCTATCGTCAGAAAATGTATGTCTCCCTTCACTTTTTACTTGACTTTCAAAGTTTTGGTTATTCTTAACTTTAGGATATGTTTCATTTGGCTTGGCTGTTTGTATCACGCTTCCAATTAACTATTGATGTCCAGCCCCTAGTTGTTAGAATTAACATTCAGGGTTAGCTATCGGGTACATTCTAATTAATTAAATCGGATGTCGGCTTTAATTGTCGCGAGTGAGTGTCTTTTTAAAACGTAATTGCACTGATGCACTAATTGCACTTTTTTTAAACCATGCCTGTTGCAAAAATGCAAATACGTAGATTAAGTTGCAATCAGATTAAATTGGCTCTCATGAAGTCAGAGACCTTCTCTTTAACTACTTAAGAATTGCCAGAAACACTAGAATTCGCCTTTCATTCACAAATGAATTAATTAATTTGCAACTGCTGCTGGTAAAAACCGGATATACTTGAAAATAGGAGGTTTTACTGTAAACTTAAAATTGTTGAAAAGAAACCAATCATATGCCTCCATTATGAGTATATGATTTAAAATATTTTCGAATCGCAAAGTTTGAATATAGTTATAAAGTCCTTCGTCAAAATACGTATCATAATTGATGTAAAATTAATAGAGGCACCTTTTGACATTGGAAAATTACGACAATCCTCCTTTCTCAATTGAAAAACTTAAAATTATACATCATTTAATATCAGTATAGTATCATCCACAATACTATACTGTAAAATATCGTAGAGAGGTTTTGGTACGAATATATTTATATTCACTCTTCCTGGCATATTTCATATTCTTCAGACTTCTAGATTTTTGAAAACTTGACTATTACTGTCAAAATGCTGAAACCAACGAGGAAAATTCAAAAGTAAAGCTGATCTGTATTGCTCACATGAAGGAAAAAGAAGAACGATTAGAATAAGACAGCATTTCAGAAGAAAAATAATGACCACAAATTACAATAAACGGAGTGAAAATCTCAAACCTTTTAAAAACGCGACCTACATGGAAACACACACCAATGCAAGATGTCGGTGGTTTATTAAATTTTGCAACCATTTCAAACTCCTGAAATACATGTATTTCGGAAATGAGTGATTCCTAAAAACTATGCGTCATTGTATGCAAGGCATGTTTTCACTCATATTTAAATTGGTTATTTTTTCACCCCCTTAAATTGGTTACCCTTTTATACAATTTAGAGCAGTAATTTTTTATTGATAATTCATTACTTAGTTTCCTCTTGATTGAATATCATTTGAAGAACGCACTAAGTAAAGGCTTCAAGACGTCTAGTTCCTCTCCCCAGTAATTCGTCATTTTTTTTTAAATAAGAAAATTTCTTGCGATATTCAGACGTAATTAGTTACAATCGAAGAAAAAAACAACGAAAATATGGTATGTAAAACATCAAATTACAGAGAGGTCGTTCCATTTTTCAACATTCGAGTGAAACGCATTTACTTTCCATCATTCAAGCTCAGCAAGTCCTTGTCTAGTACATTTTCTATGTAATAGTCAACAATCAATAGGTTTTCTCACTCAATAATGATTAGTTACACACAGCGTAATGCATTCGATACAAAAAAAATATGTTTAAAAAGTGTAAGCAAAAAGAAGCTTTGAGTGCTAGCTGAACACGTGGTATAATCATACGAAAGTTAAACAGATTATGGAATTGAAAAGAAAATTGTAAATATAGATGGATTAAAGTATGCATTTCACGATTGTAATCTATCAAAAGACTCTTGAGGGTGTGAAAGTGGTTGGAAGTACACACTTTTCTACAGAAACTACTTACAACTAGGCAAAAATAAAAGTTAGTTTCCACCCGCAAAGAAAGCTCATTGAATTGTCTTATCAAAGACGTCGTTTTATTACACTAGGTTAATTTTCAATAGGTTTGTTCATCTCGCGAGTATCATATCATGCATTTAATATCTCATTATTGATGTAAGACAACTGTTATAAAAATATAGTTATCTGCTGTGACTTGCAATGCACAGTCGGCTATGTTGCTGTGAACCTTACTCTTTTAAGTGAAAAATACATTTTTAGGACCGGAAGTTTAACTTAACAAACTTAATGGTTCAAAACATGGGTTACTTTTTCATGAGAAAGGGTAAAAGTTAAAAAGAATAAAAAATAATTGCATGGTCACTGATTTAAGTGTCTTTTACTCCATTTTGCTTTGGCTATTCAAATCATCTATTAAATATCACTTCGAGCGATAAACATGTGCATCAACGTTCAGTCATGTATCAAATTTCATTTATCTTCAACTTCAATTTTAGGAATTAGGTTGAGATTCGATCATTTGTTGCAGGTGATATTCTCGGAAGAAATGAGCCCATATTCAATGAAAATCTTTTAAATACACCAAACAATTTCCTTGTATTCAAATTTCTTTAGTATGAAAGGGTTTCTTTCACAACAAATGGGACTCTTTTAAAAGGTGTTCACCTGTTCCTCTGCCAAAAATACAGCAGAAAAAGGTTTAAAAGTTTTATAATTAAAAATATGTCGCAGTAAAACATTATTCTCACACATTTTTTTTTTTATTTTTCCACTCACATTCATCCGCATTCAAAGATAAACTGGATCGCATTCAGCAAAAAGGAACCAGTGTGATTGCAGTGGTGTAAAATTGTTGTTTCTTCATAATTATCGATATGTAGAAAATCTCCTAGAATAGGAGGCAATTTTTTCTTCCCACAAAACATTGTTAATTTTAAAGAGAAGTAACTGTGTAAATTTTAATACAGTACGTGAATTAAGTATTTTTAAAAGTGCACGATTTTGAAAACACCGTAATTGGGCTGGTTCCTTTTTCAAAATGTTATCCAACTGTGCTTAATCCTACAAAAAGTAAGGATTCTTACCTGGTACAAATAACCCATGGTATTAACTCCTAACACACTGACACAACCGGAATATCGAATTGGCGGGCGTTCGAGCCTTTTCACAGGAAACAAATCGGTATACACGGCGCGGCGCGAAAGACACGCGGCGAGACTTTGCTAGCACGGTCGGAACTTAGAACTTGCGAGAGGTTGGCGAGCATGGGACGAATTGAGTGGCCGCGACGACGAGTGTGTAACTGATAGCGCGCGCCATCCCCGGAGAAGACCTTAAAACCGTATCCGCTCTCCGACACGGCCCCCGTTCTCAGCCTCCCCCCTCCTCCCCTCTCCCGAGAGCTGCCGAAAAAAATTCTGAAAAAAAATTGGGGCAATGCAACCCGACAAGAAACGAATGTAGCGACAGAAGAACTATGCCGAAATTGAAATGGAATATTCTCAGCGAACTAGCAAAAAATAAAAGAGCTATAAGCGATTGAAAAAAGGATGAAAAGACAGAAAGAAAAAAAAAAGAAGAACGAAAAAAAGAAGAAATAAAAAATAGGAAGGGATCCGGGAAACGTATAGAAAAAAAGGAGGGGAAATAAAAAAAGGAAGGAAAAATTCAAAAAAGGGGGTGAAAAGGATGTAAGGGGAGGGGGAGGAAAAGAGGAGGAATTTAAAGAAGGGAAAAGAAAGAACAAAGGAAAACGAGAAAAAAACAAGGATAGGTAAGGTGGAGAACGCTAGAAAAAGACTGAAAAGGGTGAACACAAGAAAAATACTAAAAAGGGGAGAGGGAAAGAGCAGGGACAAAAAAATGACTCTTGATAAAACAAGAAAAAGAAAAACCAAAAAAGGAGTAAAACATCTAAAGCAAATAAATAAAAGTAAAAAAGGAAGGTATAGAATGAATAAGATGTAAAAAAAAAACCATTCACATATTGCATATGTGTGAAGGGTACATACACAGATTTGGTCGATTAAAGTCCCTGATGCATTCTCTTTTTTAATGAAAGTAAAGGCGCATAACCAAGAACTAATTTATTAAAGATGTTAATCACAACAGATGGATAGTCAAAATGCTTAACAAATGAGCTTGATCCTAACACGCCCTCGCAAGATTCTTAGAAAAATCAACACCATGAAGTGGAGTGATTATACGTATTCTCGGAGACTTCAACGCACTGCTAGAAAAACACGAAAATGATTTTTTGCTTGTGTAAGCAAAGCCGTGTGACAATTTTCTCATCAAAATGTTGATTAAAACGTACCAAGTGTTAGGAATCAGTGCTAATTTATTAAAATTTCTTAAATCTCTCTTTGTAAGGTTAAATTACTGTGTAGCCCTGAAACAAGTCAAACCGCGAGATTGGAAAATAACATAAGACGAATAAAGGGACATGCAGGAAAATTCAGTGTTGAGTAATTAATGCCATTGCACGGAAGATTGTACGGAGAAGTTTTTGGCCGAACATAAGTTCAAAACTATCAAAACACCTGGAGATATGACGTTTTAGAATTTATAAAGAAAGAATACTTATATTTTCAGGACTCAACTGTTGAATTAAGATGTGATTCAATGTCATCTACTGACATAAAATTAAATTAATCTACTCTTAGATTATTCTCTGAGGTCGTATGGAGTGTTTGTCTTCTGTTGCTGTGTTTTTGTTCTCTGGTATGATGCGAATTTTTTTACGTAATATGACTTAAATCAATTTCCTGAAAACTTCACTTTTAGGATAGATTTTCCTCCTTTCATAAACAGGCACATATCGACTGTGCAAGTCGGCAATCACTTAACTCAGTTTGCGACGACGCAGACTTCCTATCATACTTTATTTTTTTAACGGAAAACTACTCAACGGCAATTCTTTAAAACTGTCGTGATTTTTCTTATTTCTTCTTAACAGAAACACCTCCTCTCTGAATCTTATTTTATACACCAAAAACCATGTTTTTCTTGATATTGTGTAAATTGTCATATTTTAGATTCACAGCCTGCAAAGGTTTCTCTTCACATACATTTTCACCAACATTAAACTACATCGACTATCTGTCATAGATATTAAAAAAAATCTTGGCCTAAGATAGTATTCATTTTGAAAGCCCCCCCCCCCCTAAACGCATCACCACCATTGGACGAATTGATTACTTAAAATATTGTATCATGAGCACAGGTACGCCTATACCAGTCGTTACTTGTCATAAACGGCACCTCTTGTTTCTTATGAATCTAGATTTCAAAGACTGGTCAGTAGAGGTGTAGGTTTGGTTGTCCAAATTACATCATTTGCGGTCAGAAAGGTGTCTAAAATTTTGGATCTTCAAGGCCGCAATGCCCGCAATCCAAGCGATCTAGATCACATGATACACATCGAGGATAGATCACAATGTCACTCTTTTTCCATTCTTCTAAAATGTCTTAATTTGTGTCTTTCTCTGTTAAATTAGATTGATTCAAAAACTTTCCTTTCCAATAATGACATAAGATATGTTGAATAATCCTCCGGATTCGCTATTGCATGTAAGTCATATTTTTCTCAAAAACTGAACCAAAATGACGTAATAAATTGCTTTCCTATCAACTAGGAAGATTTTTTTGTCCGTCTATTTGATAATACTCAAGCACAATTTTTTCTTCATTACTCGTGTCTAATTAGACGAGAGACGTTGGATGAATGAAATGGTAGACCGTATGTCTCTGCGACTGGATTTTTTATGCGCGGTTATGGCTGTGTGAAAAAAAGTATGAGACCAGACGCAGAAAAAATTACAATTTTTTTCCTTTCATCACTGAAAAAGGAGATCATCTCGATTGAAGCAAAAAAGATCATGCAGCAAATGCGACGCATACTAGAGAGAGGAGCCATCTGAGATTCTTATTTTTGATCGCAAGTTGGATTCCATCATTTTGCGTCTTCTCTCTTCTTCTATTCATCACTTAGTAAATGCAAGAAAAACAAGAAGTTCCAATGCAGCCCCACCAGAGGGTGCACTAGTCGATGATTTGTTTGGTCCTCTGTTACTTTTACTTGAATATTGTCCCAATCCTATATTTGTTGATTTCTTGATTAGAATTATGTTTAGATTACTAAAGCAACTCAACTAACTCTGCAGTATAGCTGATAGTATCACAATTAAATTGACTATATATCCAGTTGCAGTTTTCTGAATAATTTTTACTACTGTAGCTGGTAGGGAATTCTGACTACATTAAACGCAGGACCATTGAAGCTATGTTTTGATGAAGCGTCCGGTCAAGGTATAAAATTTGAACAGCTAATGTCATATAACATTTTACATGGAATTACAGAGCCTTTTTTAATGGGTGGAAATTGATCACCAGTTTCGTCACGTGTAGGACCAATAGAATACTTAAATAGCTGAAGAAAGCGGTTTGGATCAATCGGTTTACGGACAAAGTTAAATGCCGAAATAAGCAATGGTTGGTCCTTTTATGGCAATTTAAAATGGTTCCTTCATTGGAAGATACATTTCCGTATGATTTTAACCGTAATAAGAGTAGCCATTTCTGGAAATTTTGAAAAAATTACTGCCGTCTTGTGCAGCACTTTGGTAATAAAAATAGATCAATCAATAAGAGTAATCTTGTCAATTTTACAGAGACTCTAACTAACGAAGCACTGTACTCGTGCAGCTTTGAAGCAACATTCGATACACTTTTCCCTGTAGCTTTTCTTTTTCCCCGTTTTGGAAAATGGTTTAGGTCGAGATCATTACAAAAAGTATAAATAAAAGTCACGGAAACTTAGAAAATGTTTCTAATAGAAGCACAGTTCCATTTATAAGTTACACAAATTTCTAAACAAAAAATAGGGTTGAGAAAAGTTAGCGGTTAGGTATAGCGCATCTTAGCAGCGTTAAATTCTCAATGTGATTCTCCGTGTCTGCACCTTTCTCAGGGCAAGTTTAGTTGATGGTGGCTAAGAAAAAAATCTCACCGAGGCGCGGCAAATTTGAAAATGCGGGGGACGAAGCAAGAAAATTGCCCGTTAAGAGGTAATTTTTAAACATTTGTGATATCGTCACCTTCCGGCCAAAGTATCACAAGCGCCATGCAACGTTTAAAAATGTCCGTGTGCATTTTATTTTTTTTACAGAGAAATTGTTGGTTGAAAATATTTGAAAATGACACTGAATTTTATCGGCAGCACAAAGAAAATTCAGTAAAATTTTTGGTCAGCTTCGTTCAACAATTGCTTTGTGAAAAATAGAATGGCGGCGGAAATTTTTAAACGTCACATGGCACTTGTGATACTTTGGCCGACAGATGACAATGTACCCAGCGTGTACCCATCGTATGTACCCATACGATTTTACCATTTAAAAAGTACTGATCAGCAGTATTTTCTGTGCCATAGACTTATTCTTCAAAATTCCCTTCGAATGAGAAACTTCATAAATACTTGAACTTTTGATCGAAAAAGTTCGCTTTCCAGTAAAAAATGTACTCAGGGGAATAGATTCTGCATGTGACAACTCTGCAAGGCCGTCTAAGAGCAGCTCTTCGTGGTGAGGCAGGCGAGGTGGAAGCAAGTCCGTTTTTTCTAGCCACTCGACACATTGGAGTGGCGCTTGGCCTACGGCTCTCCCACAGACACGCACTTGTTTTTTCAGCCGTGTTTGTTCTTTTCGGGTCTCGTAACGTAACTCATTCGTTTTCGGACTCTCTCACCCCCCCCCCCCCCCCCCNGGTCACCCTACGTCAGTTTTATTGAAGACGGACGTGAGACCCACCTTGAAAATAAAAGGAGCAAGACTACTCTGCCGTGCTAAGGAAAAACGCCGTATGAACCTTCAGGCGTTGCCAAATTTCCGTTGATAAAACAAAAATTTCCTCGTAAACTTATGAATATTTTTCCTCCAATTTTTCAGATAACTTTCCTCGCAGTTCCACTAAAAAGTCCTGAAGATTGCAAGGGAAAATATTCATAACTTTCCTCAGAAATTTATATTTCATCAAAGTAAATTTGGCAACTCTCGAATGTTCATACGGCGTTCTTCCGGACTGTCAATGAATCCATCCGAAAAAAAATCGAGCGGGATTCGCATGAATTCTAAACCGGTGCCTCGTAATTTTCGCGTCATAAATTTTATGAAGTCACAGATTTCTTGGAACTAATAGCGAAATCCGTCGCCGATGCCGTTCCAATTTTGACGGAAATTCATGTAGTTTTAACGATTTTCGGGTACTAGAAGCGGGTAATACTTCAAGCAGGGTGCCACTAAGGGTCACGATCG